TTTATCAATTTCACGCTGCTTTGCGGCGGAGCGGGGTGGCAGAAACGTCATTATTAGATTATGATAGATTAGAAAGATTATGTCAAATAGAATTTCCGATATATATTTACTAATATGTAATTTGTATCTGCAAAGCGAAAGTATGTTTTGAAATCTGAAATCTGTTTATCAATTTCACGCCGCGGATTGGAAGTTGATCTGTCAGCACTGTCCTTATCTTCAGGGCAGATGTTTTTATTTTATTTGGTTTATAATTCCGTACTAAGTGTAGTACTTCATCTCGATATACTCCGTCTTTGATAAGATTAAATCAAGTTCCTCGTCATTATAATTCGCTTTCCGTAGTGAAGAAAGTGACCCAGAGGTTATTGAAACGAAAACATTTCGATTGACAAATTAGTCGGTATTCTCAACACAGCAATTATAGGATTGAACAGCGGAACTTTGTAAGTAACAAGAAATTTAGTCTGTTTAAGAATTAAAGAGAAAGTATTATCGCATGATGAACGAAGCCACTTACATTGAGGAAATGTTTAATAAAGTAAACAAATAAATATTAAGCTTTTTTTTTTGTAAATTTGATACCCTTTAGATCATAATTGTTCTTTATTTCATAAATTACGGTTTCATATTTTTAATTTTGTAATTTCTGCATGCCATCTTACGAGATTTAAACTGATGATCTATAATCCGGAAAAATCGATAATCCGGAATCGCCGAAGTCCCGACGAGTCCGGATTAACGACTTTTGACTGTAATTGATTTCACACCCTTAGCAACATTAGCTGATTTAGCAGCATCTTCCTTTTTCACAATCATAGACACCATTGTATTTGGCATATGGTATGCAAATGGCAAGATTCAGACACATCGTCAGATTTTTCAGTCATCTCTTTTTTCACCTCCATGATGATCCTAACAACATTTTTCTGTGCGTGAATCTTTTCATGAACTTTTCTATATTTCATTGTTAAGGAATTTATAAAAAATATGACACACTTGAAAATTCAGAGTTATAGTGTAGGTTATTTACTGAATAGTGGCAATTAGCATATTGACATTAATGGGCAGTCGTAGCATTGTCTCAAAAGTGATAAACATGTAGTGCGAGTCATGATTCATTGAACTTGAGTCATGTTGCAGACAAATGTCATATACCAAACAAAAACTTTCATGTTCAAACAGGACATATTCTAAATTGGGTGTATTTCATAGTGCATGTATACTGAAATACCATTGTATTTAATATGAAAAAAATGAATGTAATATTAAAATAATGTACGTGAGAGGTATGAGCTTGGTGTAAGGACAGAAATTTTTTTATATTTATCATTAGCAAACTTAAATCACCTTGTTCCATTTTTGATTGGATTGAGTAAACTTGTAAATATAAGTTTTGTTGATTGAACAGAAACATGTGCATATACTGGTGCACCATATTAGGCACTGCACATGCTGCAACTTGTTTGTATATTTGTCAAAAAGATATTAGAAACAAAGCTGCTATGCAGCCACCCAAATGGCCAAGATCATAGTGTTCTATTTTCTACCGTCCCCCTAAAATATGCAGCAAAATGTGTAGTGTCAATAGAGTTTTTTTCAAACAGGACATGTGGAAAATGTACAGTGACATTGCCGGAACTCTTAACACAGAACTTTCATATACTATTCGGGCAGGTCCATTTACACTACAAAAGCACACAGTAAGGTGGGAGAAAACCTTACATTCTTCACCACTTAAAGGGCAGTTGGGGAAGCTGGACACAATCACCAATGCTGGTGATGATGAATTATCATCCACCCCTTTTAGTTTAGCTGTTACCTTTAGAATCTTTTTTTTTTTTTTTTTTTTTTTTAAAGCAGGAGACATGCAAAATATGTGGTGTCCTTGTGTCCTTGCTAGGACTCGAACTGTGGATCTTTTGATGCTATCTGGACATGTGTTCTAATTATTTCATAAAAGACCTAAGAGTGGTAAAGAGAGAGAAAAACCATACAGATGTAAATAGAAAGGGTATCATTTGAAACTTTCAAATCTGTTCATTAATGGAGCAGGGGAGGGGTATTGTTGTGGATGACAAACAGAATTTGGGGCATATCGGAATTTTAAACATATAGGTTAGCAAGAGGCTTGATTTTGTAATGGTTAAAAGATATTTAGAACAATTTGTTGAAACATGCATTTGATGAATTTTAGTATTAATAAAATTTTTCAGTGCATTTCTGAAGTATTGTTCAGGTGGTAGGGTCCGTATTGCCCCCTAAATTTGCCTTGGACCAAAACCATCCCCATATATCTTTTCAACGGCCACCAGTGGGCAGTATCAACCCTGTGGGAACCAGTGTTGTAAGTATTAGTAGTACTTATTGCAAAATACTACTACACTTTTAAATTACCTTCTACTTTTGCAATACATAAACATAAGTTTGAATTACATACATGCTTTTATAATATTAACTAAATAACTTATGCATTGTGAAATTGGTAAAGTATACTTTCTGGCATCAGATTTTTGCTCTGAAGCTTAATTTTGGAACTCATATATGAAATATGAAATTAGAAAAATTATGCATGAAAAATTTTATTTTTCTTTAAAAGTTGTTTTAAACATTAAAAAAAAGGTTGACTTTGAGTTTGATATAGGAGTAAATAATTTTATTTATTCAAAAACCATTTGCCATTTTTGAAATACAATTAAGAAACTGTACACTGAAAAGTTAAAAAAATTTTCAGAACCTTCTCTTGTCAGCATATAAAAAACATGCTGTTTATTTCTTTGATTTCAGAAACTAGATGTGTTTGTTGGTCATATATCCATGCTCTAAAGTGGCTAGCTTAACCTGTGTAATGATTGTAATGATTGAGATTTTTGTGATGTTTAAATCTGAAATATACACTTATGTTCATAAGCAATTTCATGAATTTAATGTCATTTATGATTCCATTTACATTTAAACATTCTTGTAATCATGCATACTAAATGAAAATGATGCAAAAATTAATGATAGCTGGTATAATGAAGTGTTTTTGTTTAGTATTTTCTTTTATTACTGTAAAGTAGAAAGATTATATTGGATATTTTTCATTCCATGCATAAAGCCTAATTTTAGTTGAATACCATGTTTTTACTCAAATTAGGTAATAGAGTTTTCATGAAGTATCTGTGCTTCTCATTAAATGAATGCCTTAATGTACCATAGCTCGAAGACAAATAGTGGTGTGAATAGCATAACTAGGGATGGTGGGTATATTTTTGGGAGTGGCTTAATTGACCACAAGGAAAATTATAATCTAGCAATTTATAGCAAAGTTGCAATATAATCCATTTTCATTTTACCATTTTTCTTGACGTAATCCCCTTTTTATTTAGACTTTTTCAAACCGCGATTACTGTTTCAGATTGCAGATCATTCTAAAGTTTGGAAATTGTGAACAAGATGTGCATGTAGTATTAATCAGAAAGAAAGGAACTGGGCCTGCAAGGCCATCACCACAGACAGGAGCATCCAAAAAGAGGTGCCAACGGCTGATTCACTAACAGTAATCAATGATGTCAGTTTTAATTAATCATTATGTGTTCATAAACAGTTATTCAGTAAATAATTCAAGTAGGAAAAAAAATAATATAAAATGTATCTGATGTAAATCTAAAACCTAAAGTATTTTTACAAGGAAATTAAAGTTTATTGCGTATATTTTTTAATATAGAGAGCAGTCAGTAGTTATAAATTTTGAACTTTTTATATCTCTCTGTGTTGCACTGGATGAAAAATTTTGATATGCATATATTGAAAAATCGTTAACTGCCGCACTGATGCCTTGTTATGGTATGAGGATTAAAAGAGTATTGAAAAATGGATGGCTGATACATTAATAATATTTCACAAAGTTCATAATTTATATTTATAGGAGTTATTTACACTTTCCTGTACAAAGATGGAAATTTGAAAGCGTTGAATATATTTAACATGTTCAATTTTTTTCGATTTTTATAAATTTGAAATATCTGTGATGAAAACAGTCATAGTCAGAATATGTAGATAAATTTACTAGAGCTGGTTTAATTAATAAATATTTCATGAAAGGTAATTTTCTGTGATATTTGCAAAACATTGTAATTATTCTTAAAAAGTGCTATAACAGCACTTTGTACGATTAGGAAATAACCTCGAGAATTCTACTACTGTTTCACTTTTGAATTCATTCCTAGGGTTCTGTTTTGCTGATTTTGTGGAGGCAATTTTAAGGGCTTTTTAAGTAACGTTCTTTTAACTTGAACATCTAATGCAAATTTGACCATAAAACAAGTTCAATATCAAGCAGTTAATATAAATCCTTGAAGATGTTCTCAAACTATGCTGCATGACATGAGTAAGATGCACTAAATCCCTGTTGATGGAAACATTCACACATCTGAGAAACTCTTTTGCTTAAAAAGGTTCAGGCTGCCGCCTCTTCTTTTTTTTTTTTTTTTTTTTTTTTTTAGGTGCACCCACCAGCGGCCGAGCGCTGAACACTGGTAGTTCGATCCGAGGTTCGAATCCCGCGAACGGACTGGCTGCATGGGTGGTTTTGTGGTTTTCCCCATGTGTAACGTGTATACAAACCAGTTTCCCTTAGAAAGTCCTCCACGAAGGCATCCCTCCCCTTAAGCAGATAGCCTTAGATTGCCATAATTAAATACACCACAAGCAATCTTTTAAGAGCATTTTCAGACAACTGCTGAGATGCATCGTAATTGGGAGTGTTGAATGAAAGCAGAAGAGCTATGTGATTGACGACCACAGATGTATTAAAAAGTATTGGTTAACAACAGTCACACGCTTTTTGAAATATAAGAAGCCATTTATTGTAAAAAATGGATTTTAAAAAATAGAGATAATGTTCTGCTGCTTGGGATGAGGGGTCTAATTTTTTATATAGTCAGTTCTATTCTGCTTATGATCCACTCTCCAGATCAGAGATTTTTTCTCTAAAGGAATTATTAAGACCTTAACAGGAAGAGGAAAATCATATGAAAGGGAAAAGAAAAGACTTTTACATACTTAGAATAGGTAAGTTATCTTTTTTTTTTTTTTTTTTTTCCAAGCAAGGGTTGTTTATTTATTTTCTGAATTAAGAAATTGCATTTAAAATCAAAGTACTGTAGAGCCCCATTTATTCGAATTAAAAGAGCACAGTCATAGCGGATAACATTTTCAAATAACCAATGGTCATTAAAAGGTAAAATCAACTAGTTATAATACTGTTACTTAAATTATATTACAATATATTTACATATTTATGTTAATCTAATAATAAGTAGCACAAGTTTCCAGCTTATATCTGGATTTATTTATTATTAAAGCTGTGTTTTGGCTCTTGATGTCATATGCTGTGGCTTGATCTGCTTGGTCAAGGTTAGATTTCTTTAAAGATGAAAACTGAACTTTTCTGTTTATGTATTTTTAAATTTCGGAAATGAGGTGGAAAATTGCAGGATTAAAACTAATAGTATTTGTGAGTACACCTATCCCTCGATTTACATGGAAGATAGGTTCTACATAAAACCGTGTAAATCGAAATCTTGGATTTTGCTATATAAAACCATGTAAAATGAAAAACACACTAAATGTGCATAATTTAGTTATTTATTTACATAAAACAAAAGTAATACATCTTAAAATAAAGTTATAATTTGTTCATAAAATGACAAATACAGTGGTGGCCAAAATTGTGGACACTTTTGGAAATTTTATGTTTTTGAACTTTGTATGCTTATAGAAAATGCTACGTTCGCAAAATGCAAACTTGTATATATCATTTTAAAGAGAATTTATTACTGAATTCAATACAAAACACAAAATTCAACTATTTGCAATACAAAAAAGTTATATGTACTTTAATATAAATAAAAAACACAGTTATGAAGTGTTTTGTAATGTCTAGCTTTCCTGGCCAATCACTTCTTGTTCTGAGAACCAATTAAATGTTCGTAACTGCCAGTAGAAGCTGACATCATGTTTACACTTGAAACAATTCATTATTTTGCTTTGTTCTGTAGAAGGAGGACCTGTTTCTTATACACTGCAATTACAAGTAGGAATTTTGTAGAAAAATGTCATCAGCGGCCATCAGAAGTGATCTGAATGATGCTGGTGTTTCTGTCAGTTCAAGAACAATTAGTAGGAGATTAACAGATGTTGGACTGAGAAGTAGAATTCCACGAAAAAAGCCTTATCTTAATTTTCAGCAACGAAAAAAAAAAAAAAAAAAAAAAAGACTACAGTGGGCAAAGGAGCACATTAATTGGACAGATGATCAGTGGTCACAAGTTATATGGAGTGATGAAACTAATATATCGTTATTTGGTAGTGATGGGCAAAATTTTTAAGACGTAGAATAGGAGAAGAGCTACATCCTGACTGCATTCAAGCAACTGTGAAGAACCCAGTTAGTGTTATGATTTGGTCATGCATGTCAGCAGATGGTATTAATCGCCTTCATGTCATTGATGGGACACTGAATGCCAGAAAATACATTGACACTATTCTAGAACCAAACCTTCTACATTCCATCAGAGATCTCTTTCCCAACAATGCTTCATTTATTTTTCAGCAGGATTCTGCTCCTTGCCACGCGGCCAAAATATCGAAAGAGTGGTTTCGTACAAAGAGCATTAAATTGTTGTCATGGCCAGGAAACAGTCATGACCTTAATCCTATCGAAAATTTGTGGCACCGTTTGAAAACTCTTGTCCGAATGAGACACCTATCAAATAAAAGAGAACTAATTGAGGCTGTAATTGTTTCCTGGCATCATGTAATAACGAAAGAAGAGCTTAAAACTCTTGTCAGCTCAATGAAACGTCGATGTGAAGCTGTAATAAAAAATAAAGGGTACTCTACTAAGTACTGATAACTCACTGCAATCATCACTATCTAATGTATATCGATAACTGTTATCGTTTAACTTTTTTTGTATTTCAAATAATTGAATTTTGTGTTTTGTATTGAATTCAGTAATAAATTCTCTTTAAAATGATATATACAAGTTTGCATTTTGTGAAACGTAACGTTTTCTATAAGCATACAAACTTCAAAAACATAAAAATTTCCAAAAGTGTTCACAATTTTGGCCACCACTGTATATATAGGTAATAAAAGTACATATTTAATTTATTTTACATTAGGAAAATATAACATCATTCCAAAAAGTTATTATAAGTTTAAAAACTATAATCGTTTTCATGAACTATGTTTTGTTTGATTTCCTCATAATCTTGGGCATCGCCAGCAGATCCTTTTGCAATCAGTTTTGCAGTGTCATTAGGTAACAAAGCTAAGAGATTTTAGTTGTCTTTCAAATAAAAGGAGAAAGAGATCTCATGTCATCAGTTTTGGGAGTAAAGTGAGGAATTGAACTAGCTGCTTGTATTTTCAATTGTTCAAGCTCATGCTTGCGTTCTTCTATCTTTTTCCTTTCGTTAAATTCGCCTTCCGCCCACTCTTTCCATTCGTTAAACTCGCGTTTCTCTAGTTCTTTTCATTCCGTGACTTTGTTAAAAAATTTGATGTGTACGCCACATGACTTCCATTCTCAGTTCACACTTCGCGGCGAGGCAAAAATACATAAAAACTCAAAATATCATCATTAAAAATTGAAAGATACAGAAAAACATAAAATGCCATATACAGTTAAAACAATTTTTTTAAAAAAAATTATGATTAAAATTACAGTTTCTACACAAAAACAAGTAATTTGGCCAGCAGGCAAGAAGGCAAATTTTTCGGTGCCAAAGTTAAAAGTTTTGTTATAGTCGCACTCGGCAAAATGACACTGCAGATGCAGAAATACTTAACTCACTTTTCTGTTAAATTTCAAATGTTAACAAATATGGCTGCTATGATAAAAAAAATTAGACCTAGCCACACTTAAACAACTTTTAAATTGTTGATAATTCTACAATTATTGCATGTAGATTAACTAAAGGCATAAAAACCTTAAGCGGAAGATAAGAACAACATAATTCAATCTTTTCTTTTTTTTTAATTTCACATATTTTAACGATTAAGAAACCATGCAATTTTTTTATGTGGTATGAATTCGAATAGCAAATTGGCTATTTGGCATAGTCCTATTACTGATGCTAAAGGAACAAAGCTTGGCAATTTTTTAGTGCGAATCATTTGTTTCTACTTAATGAAAATCCCGGATCTACTTTCTGTTCTATGCAGGGCTCGAGTTTCTCTTTCTAACCGTAAAATGATTATCTTTGAACTGATTTTATGTCGTCCAATTACATCTTCTAATTTGTGTACTTTTAATTTAAAAAGAGCGAACAGGTTTTTATTTACTGAACTTTGTAAGAAAGAATTGTGTAACTTGAATATCCTTCTTAGCAATTGCTCTGATTGTATTGCATCAGAAAATGTTGTAAATAGACTTTCTACTGTTATTTTTAATTGTGCCTCATTTTCAATTTCGATGAAGAAAAGAAGAACGGTGTTCCTTGGTGGTCTAAAGAAATTGATTGTTATAGAAAGCATGCAAATGCCGCTAGGTGTAGATTCCAGAGAGAAAGAAACTGTGTTCTTAAAGATATACAGTCAAAAGTCGTTAATCCGAAACAGACATAATTTTTTGTTCAGTTACAAAGTTCCGCTGTTCAAGTCCTATAATTGCTGTGTCGAGAATACCGACTAATTTGTTAATCGAAATTTTTTTCGTTTTCAATAACCTCTGTCACTTTCTTCACTATCGGAAGCGAATTATAATGACGAGGCATTTGATTGAAATCATATCAAAGACGGAGTACATCGAAATGAAATAGTACATTTAGTAAACAATTATAAGCCAAATAAAATAAAAAACATCTGCCCTGAAGATAAGGATAGTGCTGACAGATCAACTTCCAATTCATTGCGCGCGGCGGCGTTAAAGATAAACAAAGTTTAGATTAACAAACGTTAAAGTTTAGATTAACAAACGTTAAAGTTTAGATAAACAAAGGATATGCCTTTTATCCATTTTTTGCAGCAATTCCATTTTTTGTTTAATGGACTCCGAAACATACTTTCGCTTTGTAGATCTGTTACATATTAGTAAATATAAATCGAAAATTCTATTTGACATAATCGAAAGTTCAAGCTTACTTTTATAAAATTGCTCTAACAGTCTGCAAAAAATAATAAGCCGGATCTCATTCGAAGATTAATGAACAACGCAATCTGCAACATTAACTGAAATAGATAATTAGATAATTTTTGCTTAGCTTATACCATCCGTTATACATTAAACGCGCATTCGTAAACGTATTTTGCACACGCAAATTCGCAGCCGTAAAGGTCTTACGCGCATGCGTCACGCAGAAAGTGTGTAGCTTTGAGGTCCGGATTATGGGTGTCCGAATTAACGACTTTTGACTGTATATAAAATTAAGTATTTTGAGTTGCAACATAATTATAAGGCTAAATTAGCTAATGCCAAGCTTGACTCCTGGAGAAATTTTTTCTCAACTATTAATGTCTGGAAATATATATATAAATATGGGGTCAAGACGAATTTTGCGAAAAGGACTGAGATTTCTGGAATTAAACTCCCGGATGTCAGTGTTACTTTGAGTTTGAGTTATTCAATTATTGTTATAATGATAAAGAATGTCCCAAGAGATAATGCGTGTGCTGATAGAAATTCTCGTAAAACAATGCGTACTGAGTCTGAAGGACTTTATATTTCATTTATGGACTGTCCGTTCAGAACTTAATAGTGTTATTAAAAGTCTCAAGAAAAAGTCACCTGGGCTAGACTCTCTTTCCAATGAAATAGTACAGCATTTTCATGCGGTAGATAGCACTTTTTTGCTCAGACTTTTTAACCTTTGTTTACAGTTAGAAATTTTTCCAGCACAATGGAAGAGTGCTCAAGTTGTTTTGATTCTTAAAACTTTAGATGCAAGAACTCCTTATCTTTATAATATTAGATGCATTAGTCTTTTGCCTACTTTGGGAAAATGTCTTGAAACTCTCTTCATTAACAGAATAAATTGGTATTTGAGACAGAAATGTTTTTATAA